TTATTTCTCCCAGCTTCTCTTAACCCAGACAGTCTGGTGAAGTCTTAAACCCTCCTACCTTGGAACAAACTAATCCCGGTACTGATCAACCCCGGTGAAAATCCACCCCAGTAACTCCGATATTTATGAACCCTGGCAACCCCAGTAAAACCCATACCTGGGGTCCATGAACAGTATAAATAGAACCTCACAAGGTAATACTAGAAATGTATGGAAATTGCATAATTCCTTCAAAAATATTAGACTAGGAATTTCTCCTTCTATTCTAGTCTTTTCTATATATGGCAGTCTAATGCAAAGACGAGTTGTCTTATAACTTAAAAATAATTCTGGACACACGTGTATTTGAAGGCTCAAGTTTTGATGGTGAGCTGTGAACACTATTGTTGATTAGCTTAGCTGAAGAAATCCCATTTCTGAGACTAAGGTACAATTGGTCAAACGAAGGGGGATAATGAATAGAAAAAATTGTAAATTGTAGTAAATTAGAAAGAAATTAAATTACTAGAATATTACTGAGATTTCTATACCTTGTATAAGTCTCTTGCTGTAAACATGGGAATATTGGACTTGCATATTCTGGTAGTAGCATCTGATGATAAGAGAGGAACTGGTGGCAGTATGGTTGTAGGTGGTAATGATGGGTATAATCTCACTATCATATTTGATATTAAGTATGAGTATTGTGTCATTCAAATTTTATTTTTAGTACCCATTAATAGAAACATTTGTCAGCTAGTTTACAAAGCTCAGAAATAAGAATTTGACGTTTTGAACTTATGTTTTGTTTTAGGATGTGAGGAGGGTGGGGTAGCTAGAGATGGTAGTTGTTATATGTTTTTTGTTGGTGCCAGAGACTTGAAACAAGCAATAGAGAAGTGTGCTTCATATAATGCCAGTTTAGTGAATATTGAGTCTGAAGAAGAAAATAATTTCTTGTCCAATATTTTAAAAGTTGCAACAGGTAAAAAACTTCTTTCACTTAAAGAGTATAGAAGCTTGTCTGATCCATAACAACAACTTTAAACCTATAAGTTTTTTGACGGGAAATTCATCAAATGGTTTAAAAACAGAAATATACATTAATTGTAAGATCAGGTATTTGCTATCCTGTGTCTGATTAAAACGTAAACCATATTTTTATACGCCCACATGAAATAGAAGTGTATGAAGGTTGAATATTTCATACTGGTGATTGTTACTGTACTGCTAAATATTTTTATTCAAAATCTTTTTTATACGCCCACATCTCTCTATGTGGACATATATTGTCGACATTCCCTTCCGTTTGATGGAATCAAATGAAATTCGGTATGTGTATACATGTTCATAAAACGAAGTTCAAGTTCGAATTTGAGCTATTTTCGACTGTTAGACGCAGAGTTATTGCCCTTGCCCCAAAATTTTGAATATGCTATTACTCTCTTAGTTTTCAACCGATTTTGATGAAACTTAAAATGGATGTTTCGTTTTTACCATCCGCATGCCGTGAAGGGCGTATATGGCTGTGGTCCACTATCTTTGATACTGTCATCAGATTTATCATTCCTTTGTGAAGAACAGAAATAAAGAACATTTGTTGTGTTTCAGATGATCATGTATGGTATACTGGTGGTGTAAGACTTACAGGTGACTGGAAATGGTATAAACTTCATCCATCATCTGTGTCAGTGAGAAAAACTAGACGAGGTAGAAGTAGAAACAGTGCGCCACATTTATCTAAAGCTGCCTTATCATTTGATAAATGGTTTCCAGGTGAGTTTTGTTTTTATACGTCGTTAAACTGTCCATCGGTCTGTTTGTCAACATTACATGTGGGCACATAAGAAGCTACAATTTTCAATTGATTTTGAACATTGGAATTGATAAGATCTCGGTCAAGTTTGAATTTGACGATTTTTGAAAATTTGGTTGTGGGCACAACATATGCTACAATTTTCAATTGAATTTGATGAAAATTGGTGTGAGCATGGAATTGA